TATTTAAAGGAATGGCCTGAACCAAGTTACCCTCCCTGGGCACATGGTCCTGGTTATGTATTGTCCAATGACATCGCAAAGGCAGTCTACACAAGGCACAAAGAAGGTCGTTTAAGGGTATGCATATCATTCCCCTTCCTCCCTTAATTGTTTTTCTCTGATCATGTTGGTTGGTACGATGACCATCTTCCTTAATTATGCAGATGTTTAAGCTAGAGGATGTGGCAATGGGGATCTGGATAGCGGAGATGAAGAAGGAAGGTTTACAGGTGAGTTACAAAAACGAACAACGCATTTATAATGAAGGATGCAAGGATGGATATGTTGTTGCTCACTACCAAAGCCCTAGACAAATGCTGTGTCTATGGCAGAAGTTGCAAGAGGAGAAAGTTGCCCAGTGCTGTGCAGATCGATGAGCTAATAGTACATAGTAGTGCAAGACATTACTCTCTTGATACATAAACGATTAATAGAAAGGATTAAAAGAAAGTTAGATTTTAGTTTTCTTCACACTACAGTTAGATAGGGAACAAATTTCTCATTTTTGGCGTTATTCTTGTGTATGGTAGGTTTGGTTTGAGAGAAGTGGAGGTGAGTGGAGAGTGGAGAGGAGTGGTGAATTTTTTAACTAATCAAATTATAATGTTTTTAAATATTATAATCTAATTAATAACAAAGTTCACCTGCTTTCTCTTTCTTCTATTTCTCTCAACCTAATCATACTATTAGTTTTTAACTCGGAGAAAACATATTTTTTACACGAGGACTTACAATGAATGATATTTCATTGACTTGGTTGGTTATATGTAAATTTCTGTTCTTTTTGTGTTATACATACATAACTCTAATTACCAACAACAAACTAAAAATAAAAAATTATAAAATTGAGTTATATGGTATAGGCAAAACATGTAAATTAATCCATGACTCGTTGTGTGGTGATAGATTCAGTACACGCACAAAAGAACCATTCAACTCGTTTTTTATGGCAAATCCGTCCCTCTATATAACATGACGTCATCAATCCATTAAAACTTAATGTTATGCTCATCACGCCCTACTCTATGTCTGACCTGAATTTTTTTTTTTTTTTCTGAGATGGATAGTTTGTTGGACTCTGTTGCCATTGACTCATCAAAGCAAATTCTTGGCAGGATAAAATAGTAGATGGTTTCCAAATCCCTGAAGTGTGAGAAATTGGGGATTTTTCTAGGGTTAACAAAAGGATTACAAGTTTATTTTACAACACAAAACTGTAAATACAAAGAGATAGTACCCAGACACAGAGATTCAAAAATTCTTTGAAGGAATCTTAAAATCAAAGCTTTTGGAGGCTGTTGGCGTGGATGCTAAAGCATTGATCTTGGGGTTACTTTGGCAAATCTCAATATTTTTTCATGGTAAGCATTACTTTCAGGAATATTTACTTTGTCATTTATTAAATTGATGATAATTAATTGATGATAATTTGTCATGTGACTAATAAAAAAATTTATTTACAAGGAAAAATGAAGAAAAGTAATTGTGATGGAGGTCAAGGTGGAATTAATACAACAAACAATTCACCTAGTGTTGATAAGTTAAGTAATTAGATGTTTTGAATTAGTTTGTTTTCATTAGATGTTTTGAATTAGTAGTAAAAAAAAATGTAAATTCTACTTTTTCCTTTTCATTCAAATCTATTCAAATAAATATGGTGCTAGTTGGTAACAAGACTACAATTGTTTAATTTTTATAGGTAGAGAGAAAGAGAGGCAAGTCTAAAACAGGAAAAGGGAAGAAAACTAAAGAACATGGCAAAGAAACAGTGTTGATTGGCACTATGAAAGGACAAAAAGTGATATTTTGTTAGGAAAAAATAATTATATTACATTCCTATGTTTTGTCTTTTATTACGAAAAGATGTTGATATTTTGTTATAACCATATAATAGGCACTCTATGACAGTAGGCATGAAATGAGATATGTTGCCTTATTTTTTGTGACCCAATGTTCACTGGTATAATTTATCATTGGTATAATTCATTACTAGCATAATTCATCACTGATATAATTTATGTAATTATCAAAATCAACTAGATTTAAACAAAAGTACATTTCCATTGCCAATTTGACAAATTTAGGATACAATATGTTCTTACTCTATGATAGCAAATTTAACACTTGATTTTTCATTAAAAATTTCATCATCATCGCAAATAAGATTTGAAGTAAACAAGAGACAACAACTAGTCAACTACACCTAGTTTGCCAAAAGCGTTCTTGTCAACCTTTTTCCTAAGGGCATCTGTTTTCTTGTACAAACTGTAAATTGCCTTTAAATGCTTATCCATATCCAACATTTTCGGCTTCATGTCCCCAAACTTATCCTCAAAAAACTTAACCATACTCACCATTTTTTGCTCCATACAACCAAAATTATTCTACAAATCCTTCTCCAAACTTTCTATTTTTTCCCCCATAACTATCACTTTGTTCTTTGAAGTAACAAACTCATCTTCCAAATTCTTTTCCATAGCCACCAACTTCTTCTCCAAACTGTGAATTTGATCAAGCAAGCCCAGCATTATACTCTTCAATTCTAATGCTAAAATTGCAAATTCTAGAATGCAATTCTCTCCATTGCTGAACTTAGACACCTTAGTCCATAAATGGTCCCTCTCATGCATTAGAGTGTACTTTTCTAAGATTAATTGTTATATAACTTCAATTGCCCTCTTATCAAACACAGGGTCATATTAGATGAAGAAATCACAACTCTTCTACAAAATTAATTCAAATACTTATAGTAAATACAACTCACAACCTAAATCAAATCAAAATCAAAGTTAACTTAACATCACCTTCTCCTTATACTTTGGGCAACCAAAAAATCTTCTTTCGGTGTCAACTTCCTTCCAACAAGTCCATTATGGAGCAAAATGCCCACACTTGCAAGTCCATGGAGGTCCTTCATAATCCCACTCAATATTCCCTCTATCCTCAAAAATATGGCAATGTGAATAACGATTAAGAGTTTGATGAAGAAGCCATGGTTGATGAATAAGATTTCTTATTGATAAAAACTTCAAATTTTTTATAAGAAGAAGACAATAAAAGGCTGCAACCAAAACAAAACCTTAGATCCCCAATTATATTTGACCAAACAAAAAGGGTATAAAAGTAAATTACAATATTAATCACAAAGAGTCCAGCAAAGCGTCCAATAAAGCATCCATCTCAACAAAAAAAAAAACAAAAAAAGGGTCAGGCGTAGAGCAAGGCATGATGAGTGGAACATTAAGTTTAATAGATGGATGGTGTTATGTTACATAGAGGGGCTGATTTGCCACCGAAGACAAGTTGAAAGGTTCTTTTGTGTGTGAACTAACTTAAGGGGTTAATCTGCCACCACACGGCAAGTTGAAGGGCTAATATGCATATTTTGCCTATAGTACACACACACAACTCCACTCCTCGTTGAACAAACCTGACCCTCCAAGAGGGTCTTAAATAAAAATTGTCACAAATTTAACAATAAAATGCAATTTCAGCCAACCACGTGCAGGCTAGCTTTTTTTAACCAATTTTCACCGCTTTTTCTTTTTGAAAATTTTTGCGTTTAGATGAAAGCGAGAGCATTTTTTTTAAAAAAATAAAGGATAAAAAATAAAAAATATACTAAAAATTAGAGCATCTTCACTCTAACTCTTAACATAAAGAAACAATTGAATACATTTTATGACATAGTTTTTGTTCAATTGTTAAAAATTTAATATGAATACAATGGATTCAATCGATTTCTATATTTTGTATGTATGATTATATTTTTAAATTTATCTGTTTTAATTTAAATTAAGAAATAATAATTTTTTTAATGAATATATTGTACAATATATTAAATCAAAATATATACTAATTACTGTCTTTAAAAAAATGTTAGATTGAAGCACGTGTGCTCAATCACTTTTATGAATTACATATATTTTTTGAATTTTTACACTTATGATTTTTTTGTTTTTTTGAATGGTATACAACTTGAGAGCAGGAGATTTAAACCCAAGCAAGCTTTAGAGTTGAGAGATCCAACTTATTATGGGGTTTAAAGGCC